TATAGATGTTACAATAGCACTTGTAATTAAAAAGCAATAACTCTGCGTTTCTTCTTTAGAGATCCACTGGGAGACTGGGCTAGTGAGGTGGGGGAGGGGAAGGAAAAAAGTGCTGAAAAGAAAGAGAAAGAAGCTCTTGGTAGATCCTAGCACACTGAGGCTACCACTAAGACGGAAGCTGAAGGGAAGGAAACTCTTAACACATCCTGGGTGTTGGGGTGGGAACCCTGAGAACTGGAGAGTGGTACTAGAGATAAAGGGGCAGACCTGGTATATGAAGGAATAGGGGTAAGGAGAGGATGGAAGATGGAGGGTGGAAGGAGGCCATCCTTAGAGATGGAAGACACGGCCATATAGTCCGTGTAGGCAGAATAACGCCCCCTCCCCCAAAGAGGTCCACATCCTAATTCCCAGAAACAGTGAATATGTCATCTTACATGGCAAATGAGACTTTGCAGATGTGATTCAAGACTGTGAGATGGGGAGACTCCTGGATTGCCAGGGTGGGCCCAATGTAATCACGTGGCTCCTTATAAATCAAAGAGGGAGGTGAGCGTGTCAGGTGTCAGATTAGAAGATGTTGGCTTTGGAGAGGAGGGATGCATCAGCCAAGGAATGTGGGCAGCCTCTAGAAGCTAGAAAAGGCAAGGAAATGGGATTCCCCCCTGTGGCCTCCAAACCCTTTATTTTAGCCTTGGGAAACCCCTTTCAGATTTCTGACCTCCAGAACTATAAGATAATAAATTTGTATTGTTCTAAACCATTAAGTTGGTGGTAATTTGTTACAGCAGCAATAGGAACTATGACATGTTCCCAGTGTAAAACTCAGGCAACATCAATTTGAAGACAGGAAACTGAATAAATCCCCAAAGATTAAAAAAAAGAAGTGGAGGGCATGGCCATGTAGCATTTAGGTAGTGCATAAACGCTACGTATGTACCTACCTGAAGAGTTCTCTGAAGGCAGGCCCTAGGCTAAATGCACATCCCTTACAATACCCAAATGATGTGATGAAGACCAGAAAAATGAACTTTCTCATTCTGACTGTGATGTTGGGCCCTGATTTTGATCCCTGCTGTCATTTCTTAGGTCCCAGGAAACTGAGACAAGTGAGTGTGTGTTGGGGTAGGGATGTGGGGACTTGGAAACTTTTTTTTCCTTGAGTGAACGGCAACCACCATGATCTGCTGGAGACAGAGATCATGAAACAAACATTCTCGGCTTGTGGCTTTGATTCTTCCATGGCACCTCTGAAAACCAACCCAACTATCAAACTTTGCCGGTGGACAGTGCTTTAGAGATGGCTGTGTCCGTCCTTCTTGAAAACTCAGCTTACAAGTGGCCCCATTGTTTAGTAGTTTCTCTAAGGGAGAAGCCACAACAGAGCAAAGTCTAACAGAGCAGAGACCGGCCCCCCACACCGGCCCCCCAGTGAAGTTCTCTCTGAGGTCCCACTGGGCTTTTGACTGCATTGTCCCGGATTCCTGGCCAATCCCTAAGGTTCTGGATTTCCCACTAGACTCAGCTGCTCCTCTTTGGCATTTCTATCAACCGGATTTGCATTATCTGACCTTGGTCCCTCCTTTTCCTTTGTTTTCATCTTATGAAGCAACATAGTATAATATAAAGTAGTTAAGAGCTTCAACTGGAGCCAAACTGCCTGACTTCAGATCCTGACTCCTACTTAACCCCTAGCTGTGTGACCTCCAGCAAATCACTCACCACTCTGTGCCTGTTCCCCATCTGTCAAATGAGGATGTTAAGAGTTCCTACTTCACAGGGTTGCTATGAGGATTACATAAGTTAATACTTATAAAGCACTTCAAACAATGTCTAGCACTTGTTTGCTAAACACAATAAATATTGTGGTTTTAGCATGTGAAGAATAGAATATTCCCAAGATTTGGGATGGAAGTCAAGATTAAAGGTTGAACTCTAGGAACTATAAAATTCCTTCCAGTCCTGAGTTTTTATGCTCTTGTGAGGATCATCAACACTTCTCCAGATTCATTTCCACGCAGTTCTGATTCCCACATCTGGAAACTTGCTCCTTTGTAACAATTGCCAGATATTTAAAGGTTTAAGCCAAGAACTTACAATAAAATGTTTATTTATACTGTAAATGTTAATTAGGAATTCTTTAGTGAAACTTTTATCTTTTTTGGATATGGATTAGGGAAATGGTAGGTACAGATAGCTAAGAAATGGTATTAACCAATGTAAAACTAAAGAGTTGTTTGAAAGCCAAAAATGATCTTTAAACTATCTGAGAAATGAGACATCAGGAACCCTGATGTCAAGTTTGAGCCCCTCTACTAACTAGCTGTGAAACTTTAAACTCCTTTCTCTCTGCCTGTTTCTCATCTGTAAAAGAATTGCAGCAGGTTTCTTTACACATTGAATAAAAAAGTAAAAAAAAACACAGCAATGAGATAAAGTTGATAGAAAAGTTTGTCTTAAAGAACAGAACAAGAAGTGGATTACTTTACGTTAGAATATAAACATTTAAAAATAATTTGGATGCCTTCATTCCATGGAATGGATGGATGGAATTAGGAAGACAGCCTAGACAGCTCAGAGCCCTGTTCCTGGATTGGTTTACTCCACCAGGACCAACGTTTTATACCCAGTAGGCACGGGGTAATTGTTGAGTGAATGGCCATACTGTCGTATGCAGCATGAATGAACGGCTATGCATTCCCTAGTAACTGAACATTGGTACAATAATTCTGATGAATTGTAGATTAAATATCTAACACTGTGCATCAATAAAGAATGTTAGCTTTACTTCCATTTTTATAAGTGAGAAATTTAAGAAACTTGTCAAAAAATTACCTAGTGTGTTTTGCTGGCTTATGAGACTTCTAAAACATAACACATACTGCCACCTAGCAGATGGGACAACTGTCTCCACTGTGGGGGTAAGGTGGTGTCCCGCTAATTTAGCTTTTGTAGGGATACAATTTTAAGAGGCTATGAAATGACTTGTTTTCTTATGTAGAAGCCCTTGATTCACTCTCCCTCTCCACCTTCTAAACAGTGGGGATTACCACAGTCTCTTTGCCACAGGATCCCCTCTGGGTAGGGAACAGTATAGCACAACCTGCTCTAAGGCCATTGATCAAAGAACAATGAATAGGACACCAAGATGATTTCAGTTTGTATAAGGGACAATCTCTAAGCCCTGTCTCCAGGAAGGCCATGAGCACAAGCGGTGCCATATCAGACATTGATTATGGTGTTGCCCCATGTAGAACTCTCGGTGAAATTCATTTTGTGCCCTCTCAGCCTTCTACTTCTTATCCCAAACCTGTGGGGTCTTTTTAGGATTGGACCTAACTGCTTTGAGTATGAAGGTAGAAAGTAATCTATCATTCATTTCACCACAGCTGGTAGTTACGGACTCAGGATCTATAGAAGGTAGGCTGAGCTAAAACACAGTTTGTATGAAGTATATTTTTTGCCTTTAAAACACAAGCCTGTCATTTACATCTGTGTAAAAAAAAAAAAAATTAGACAGCAGTGGTGTTTGGGAAGGAATTTAGTTTCTAACCTTAACACAGTTTTCTCCATGTAAGTAGTCACCCAAAACTTCATAGCTATTATCCATTGATCTAATAGTTGGACACCGTTGTTGGGGAATAAAAAAGATGGATTCATGGTCAGGAATTACAAGAGTTTTCCTGGATTTGCAGCAAGTCTCTCAGGAGAAGGTGACAAATGGCAGCCCGTGCTTGTTAGGAGTCAATGCTCCACTTGGGCTGGCTCAGCACCTCTGCAAGAGACTCAGAGGCATCTGGAAGCCTCAGTGCAAGAGTCCAGAGAGAAGCACAATAGCATGACTCTCCCAGCTTGCCCCACCTCCCTCAACATTTCAGCATTCTCCTTCCTCTCCTCCAGTCTGCTTGGAGGGCTGTTTCTTTGTTCTTTTCTTGCCTATGGGCCCTAGGCCAGATTAAGAAACTATTTCCTTTGCAGCTTTCTGTGATAAAGCCTTATCTGCAAAGTTTTTCCAAACTGAATAAAGTAGAGACAGTTCAAGTGTAGGAATAACTACACCTGGCCCTCACCAGCCCATGACTCCCAGAAGTCACCAGTTCTCTCCCAATTTAGAGCTTAACCCCCGCTGGGCTGGCAGGACTGTACCTTCTCTACACTGACAACAGGATCCAGCAGAGAAAGTGGGGGGCAAGTGGCACTGACTTCCTCAGGCTCGCAGTCAAAGTTCCACAAAGCTCAGTGTGTTCTCCTTTTAGTCCAAGTCAGGCTGGGGTCTGCCACACTGCACAATGGCCGTTAGGTGATGCTGGGCAGGTTAGTTAATCTCTTTAAGCTTTAACTTTTTCTACTTTAAAATGGGGATGATAATAAATAGATTGTTGTAAAAATTAAATAAATTTCAAAGGAACTAGTGCACTACTGGCATATAGCATGTACTCAATCAAAGTTCTCTCTCCAACTTGTTTTCTGATTGTTAATTTTAAGCCAGAAGATCCTTCTTCAAATAGCTCTAGGAAGTCAGGATGAGTTCCAAAGTGGAACTAGCCCAGAGCCCCTCCATTTAATGACAAATTTCACTTGATGTGGGATCTCAGACAGGTATAAAATCATATCTAATCCAGGGAATATACATTCCTCACTAGCTTTGGAGAAAGAGCTACAAAGACAAAAAGAGATGACAATAACCCAAAATGGACTCTTACAGTAATTGAATAAGGCACACAGAGGCCACCAAGTCTTGGAAGAAAAAGAATCCAGAGATATATATCAGCAAGACGAACATCCAACATTTCCATACCCTTCCTCTAACCCCCAACTAGACATGCAATATAGAAATACTAGATTCAGACAGCTGTGGCTGAGAGTTTGAAACGAAAGTCAGTGCTCTGGTTACTGTCTGTTGCTTTCTTAGAGCAGAGAGAAGTGACACTCATTGCCTTTACAGAGCTCTGTGGCATGATGTGCAGAGTGATCAATAACCAACACCGGAATAAGTCTTCCAAATCATCACATTAAAATAACCTTTTGAACTTTGAGTGCCTTTCCTTCCAAATGATCCTGACCTTGTAACTAAGAATTTTACATATTATCAAAAAGGACCAGGTTCTTCCATCTATTGGACGGCAGAAGCCAAAGTGCTCCTTTTCCCAAAATCCACTTACTGACATTTAATTGAAAATCTACTCTAATCAGATCACTGCTACTACTTCCCTTTCAAAACTGATGTAAACCCGGAGGTACAAGTGCTGAGAAGACAGCAATATCCCTCTTAAGCTGGGAGACTCTATCTCCACAGGGACAATTGTGCAGTCCCATTTCCAGAAGCCAGGACTCAAGGGATCTGTCTTAGTGATGAATGGATGTTCCTCTGATCTTAAGGCATGAAGGCTGTCAACACAAGGCTCCACACCGTTCCTTTCTGCTCATCAGTGACATCAAAGTGAAGGAGAGAACAGGGTCTCGGTTTTCCCAAATAGTGCTCAGTAGGACCGCAGTGGTTTGGCATAGATTGGCTCCAGGATATAATGAATTAGAACCAAGAAAAGGCCTCCAAGGAAGACAGCAGTGAGGAAAGTCAGCAGGACATAGCGGCCAATGAAAAAGTCATCCACAATCTGGAGAAAGAAACATCAAAAATTATATTACTATCACTTCAGCACCTGGCTGTGCTCACCTGAAATCTTTGGTGAATGGGCCAGGGTCTTTATACTTGTAACTTCCAGCAGTAACATCCTGCCCTGAGTCTCTTCTGTAAATGGATAAGAAAGAACCTTTTCTCAACTCCCTGAGCTGGAAATACAATAAGAAAGGATTAATGAAGTATAGGGAACAAATGGTTTGATTTAGGATGTTTATAAACACGCTGAAGACCCTGGATGAGTTCCTTTATGTTCTGCAATCAGTTATCTGAAAGAGTTCATGAGAAGCTTGCATGCTTGGTCTTAGAAAGGCTCATTTTTGTTGTTGTTTTTTATTATGGAAAATTTTAAACATATATGTAAACACATAATAATACAATAAACCCCCATGTACCCAAGATCCAAACCCCAAAATCATCAACTCATTGCCAATTCAGGAGGGTTCATTTTCAAAATGAAAAGGTGACTCTAAACCTTTCATCAGAAGAGTTCTGATGAAACATTTGTAACCCAGCATTCTAAGGTTTGGAGAAAATGGCCATTTACCTGAGACACTAAAACACTAAGAGGATAGGTAACTAAGAGGATAGCCAATATAGTTGGCTGCCTGGCAGCCAGTCATACTTGAGGCCCCAAAGTCGTTGGTCTTTGCTGACAAAAACCTATAATTGGTGTTGGCTCTACCCACTTGTCTACTGTCCCCTGCCAGGGCTCTATTCTCCCCAGATCCAAATAGTAGTGCTTAAATTTGAGGAGGAAAAGCAATTTAATCTACAGACCTAATGGAGCAGCAACACAAACCAAGTGTCTGGGCGACTTCACAGCTTCCAGAAGTTTTGCAAAGCTAGTACCTAAAGAGAATCCAAAATACCTGAAAGGGGATTGTGTAGACAGAATAATGGCCCCAAAATGTCCACATTTTTATTTCCAGAAATTGTGACTCTGTTAGATTACATGGCAAAGGAGAATTAAGATTATAGATGGAATTAAGCTTGCTAATCAGCTGACCTTAAAATAGGGAGATTAGCGTGGATTATCCAATCCAGGTGGGCACAATGTAATCAGAACGGTCCATAAAAGTGATAGAGGGAGACAGAAGAGAGGGTCAGAGAAAGAGATGTGAGGATGGAAACAGAGTCAGAGGATGTTACGTTGCTGGCTCTGAAGATGGAGCGAGGGGGCCACGGACCAAGGAACGTGGGTGGCCTCCAGGAGCAGCAAAGGGCAAGGAAACAGATTCTTCCCTAGAACCTTAAGAAAGGAATACAGCCCTGCCAACCCCTTGATTTTGGCCGGTGAGACTGATTTTGGACTTCTAGCTTACAGAATTGTAAGATAATAAATTTGTGTTGTAAGGCACTAAGTCCGTGGTGCTATGTTACAGCAGTAGCAGGGAACTGACACGGTGGCGAACACAAAGCACCTGTCCAGTCCAAGCACTACTGTGATCACTGAGCTCCAAGACACCAAAAGGCAAGGGCTGCTCCAGAGAATACCCTAACAGCCAACTTACAACAAAGGTCAGTTTGATAAAACAGCTTTAACATAACTTTGACCTTGGCTCCAGTACTGAACAAGTCTCTCGTGGGCTACATGTTTGCGCGTTTGACACGTTTCACTTTTTAATTAGCCAATTAGCAGGCCTTGGGTACAGAAGGCCCAGGTCATGTATTATTGATACAGTATTGAGCCAGGCTACTGCAGGGGCCGGTTCTCAAAACCTGAAAATGAGAACTCCAGTCTGCTGGTCATGCTGACCAACATATTTTGCTCAACTCCATTCTTCTCTCCTGGGTCTGAAACTCTTAGAGGGTAGAGGGATTGATTTCAAAACAGTGTTTGCTCTGTGCCCTTCTTCCAACATTCACAGCTGCAGCAACCCAGAAATATGGCACCGCTCTCCCCTATTAAGACAGGGAAACTGAGGTGGGAGTTTACCCCCAGCTCACACATGGTTCTTACACCGTCAGAGTGGTTTTCAAATGCTGACAAAAAAATCTGGCATAAATGGAAATAATTCCTTAAATTTGGGTGTATTATTTCCCTTGGAGCTTTCAGAACAAATTTCCTCCCTTCTGCCATGGTTAGTCTAGATAGAGTTGGAAATGTGTGCCAATTTTAGTTCAAGTTATATAACTTTGTGTACTGTTGTCTAGTGTCAAAATAGTCACCCATGAACTCTGTGATGGCCCCTAATATTCTTTTGAGTCCCCAGCAATGAAGGTTTTACTGAAAGACCTCAGCTTGAATCCTTCCTTGGTCTCTTCCTATATATGTATGACCTTGGGCAAGTTTAACCTCTTCCAGCCTCAGTGTCCTTACCTATAAAATGGGGATAATTATAGTACCTACTTCATATTACTTAGGGTTGTCCTGAGTTTTCGATGAGATAATGAAAAAATGTGCTTAGCACAGAACCTTGAACACAGTAATCCCTTAAAAAAATGTTAGCTGTTATCATCATTACTACTTAAAAAATTAAAATGGAGGTTGAGAGGAAAGAAGCTGCTAGGAGTAATGGGACACAAGGAGTCAATACCATTATCAAGATCATAGGGACCTGAGACCAGCTGTGTGTGGTAAAGCCAGAGCCCCAAATCAAGAATGAACCAGAACGGGTGCGGTCTCCAGAGAAGAACTATGAGAAAGATGATAAAAATCCATTTAGAGAGGTGGGTGCTGGCAGATGTGGTTCCAGGAACGAGGACCAACGAACTCCCAGAAGACTGTTAGTATAGAATTCATCTATCTCTGCACCTTCTGCTTCCCACAGGAATATGCCTCTTTCCTCACTGCTCTTCTTATGGAAAGCATCCTCTCCATATCACAAGTGGAAAAATTCCCACACACGGAGGTGAAAAAGCATGTCACTCAGCACCCTGAGGGCACTGCATAAATTTCAGCCCAGGATCTGAGTTTCTGAGCCAAGGCCACTAGGAATGGGAACACTTTCATTTCAGGACCAGGCCTATTCCTGTTCCTAACTCATTTTCTTTTTCTCTGGCCCTATAGTACGAGGTGGCTTTTGGCTCATTCAACTTGATGCAAACTGGAGAGGAGATCAAATGGGGCAAATGACGGCCCAGTGGTGTTGCAAGTGGGAATCAGAATAAGACTCTCTTCTCGGGAAGGGTCGGGAAATTTACATTCCCTTGGGGCTTTCCCCATCTTTATTTTCACTTCACAATTCTTCCAACACATTTCAGCCAACCTGGTACCAGGGAACACTGCAGGGCAGGACAGAGGTCTAGACCAGGAGAAACAAGAGTTACAACACAGGAGGCAAAATAAAACCAATATACCTTGATTTCGACCTCTGGGGCTGGGACGTCACTGGCCCGGGGGAAGAGCAACAGAACTGCTGTGATGATCAGAGCGCCGAGGAACACAAACATGACAGAGAACCTGCGGTCGGTAGAAGCACAGAGCCTTAGCAGCACTGTTCACAGTGTCCTCTCTAATCAGTTAGGCCTGGGCTGGCTCTTCCCTGGGGCCAATATTCTATGTTCCAGGCTATTAAAAATTCCCAGACACCTGCTGTCCACACTGCCCAGTGAATTCAGAAATGTTTTTCCCTTCATCCCAAAGCCCTTCTTCCTAGACAGGTACCAGCTGGATGCATTCCTGTTTATTCCTGGTAATTCCAAATTCCTAAGAATGGGAATAGGTGGCTTTTATTTTTGCCTCTATGCAGTCATAGTCATGAAACATCAAAGCAGCCCTCCCTTGCCCCCACTTCTGTGCTGGTGTTTAGACCAGAACACTGCAGTAAATTATACCACTTGCTGCTTCATACTGACACTCTGGCCAGAGAGCACAACTCGATCATGTTCTTAGCGTCAGTTTATGGCCTGACTGTGCTCTGAAGTCAACGCCTGACATACAGCCAGCCCCAGTCATCCAGCACTTCCTCAGTTTCCCCAGGCCCAGGTCTAGAGCCTTAGGGACTGGACCAAGCATCCTCCATAAATCTGAACAGTTAAGAAACACACACATTTACAACCCCAAGAAATTCAACAGGCAGCGAAAGCAGATTTTCTTTTCATCTCTCATGTCCCCACATCTCCTCTACAGTGTGAACTGAAAAATACCACTTCCCTTCTCCTCCCACCTCTGCTTCAGAGCATAAATAAGACAGTGCTTTTGATAAGAGGTTAAAATGCGACTCATTCAAACTGCCAGTAATTACAAAAATGATCTTCTGAATTCTAAATGTTCAATGAGCATCAGTGATTTTGCTTCTAACTGCTTTTACCTCGGACTCCCAGCTGGAGAGAATGCCTTACCTAGCTATACCGGAGGCTCTGGACAACAGCACACACAGCAGCAGCACTAACACCCAGAGCAGGGCTAGGATGAATACGCCAGCCCCTACTCCAAGCACAGTGCCAGCCATCTGTGGGAGAAAGGATGCATGAGCCCTGGACTCCAGCTCGGCCCAGGGCCTGCCCAAGCAGGATGAGGAGTCCTCTACACTCTGGGTACTGCCAGCCTTCTGCACACTCCCAGGTTTTATGAAGGCATTCAAATACAGAAAGGCTGAATTCATTATGGGGAATTTTTGATGATTGGTGTAGTAGGAGGATTAATCAATATAGGTCTTCGGGAATGTCCAGTCCCTCAAGAGGAATTAGGAATTTAGAACCCAAAAACTTTCTTTTGGGTGAGGACTGAGAGGTTGCTTTCTGCTCCATGTGGGTCATTTCAAATTTGGTATCTGAGTTCTAGTTTGTCTTCCCCCAACCCACAGTAGAAAGCTGAACTCTCTGAGGACTGTAAAAGGCAGCAGACCCGAGAGCTCCATGGCCAATACAGAAATTGACGCTCTCAGGTTAAGTCTGTGGTAGGTTAAGTCTGTGGTATGAGCTTTGACTTACCAAGCAATCACAAGACAGAAATGTCCCACTCTATCACCGAGTTTTTATTCACAAAAGGAAGCAAACTCCTAAGTCCTTGAAAAAGAAGAAAAAGAAGAAGAGCCATCACTATTTTTGAACATTCACTGTATGCTAAGTACCTTATAAATATATCTCATTTAATCATGGCAGTAACCTTCTGAGGTAGGTATTATATCCGTGTCACAGAAGAGGTAGCTGAAGTATAATGGGAAAGAGTACGTATTAACAAGCTAGGTGGCCTACAACAACAGAAAGCCACAGTTCTCTCACAGTTCTGAAGGCCAGAAGTCTGAAATCAAGGTGTCAGCCAGGCCGCGCTCCCTCCGAAGGCTCTAGGGGAGAATCCTTCCTCGCCTCTTCCAGCTCCTGGTGGCTGCAGGTGTTCCTCGGCTTGCGGCTGCATTCCTCCAGTCTCTGCCTCCCTCTTCACATGGCCGTCTCCTCTGATTCTCTGCCTTCTCCTCTTCTGTCTGGTTTAAGGACACTTGTCATTAGATTCAGGGTCCACCCAAATAATCTGGTAAAATCCATCTTGACATCCTTAACTTAATTACACCCACAAAGACCCTTTTTCTAGTTAAGGTCACATTCACAGGCTCCAGGGATTAGGATGTGGACATATCTTCTTTGGGGCCACCACTCGACCCACTCTTAGGGTAACACCATTCTATAGTACCTCCCTAATTGTCCCTTTCAGCATCAGAGACAAGTCTTCAGCAAACAAATTCCACCTCAGGTTGACAGTTTTCTTTACCCTGACGGTTTAAATGCTACAAAAATTATTATCTATGAGAAGTTCTATTATAAAGGTATTGGAAAAGAAGACCTAGCATGAACTGCTAAAAAAAACCCAACATATTTATTCAATCAACATTGATTTGTGCCTACCATGTAAAGCACTGTGCTACAAGCTGGGGATCACAAAGGTAAGTAGGACATATCTTCTGACAGAAGCTTAAGGCCAATTGGAGAACACCGTCTCGTAAACGGCTATCCACATTCCATTCAGATAAGTAGAAGAAACGAAATGCAATGGGAATTGAGATAGTGGGGAGGGCTTTACAAAGGAAGTGACTTTGCATGGGCCCATTTGGGAAAGAATCCGTGTGGCAAGAGGACCAAATAAAGGCAAGGGGCAAGGAGAGAGGGGAGGCCACAGGTGAGGCCTGGCTCCCACTTGCCTTTCTAACCTAACTGGGCGCATTCTCCCCTTGTTAGAGCACATGTGTGTCGCCTCAGTAACTAACAGGCCAAGTGTTTCCCCACCTCTGGGTCCTTGTACTTGCTGTCTCCACCGCCTGGAATTAACCCTCAACCCCAAACAAGCCCTCCACCACTTGCAGGGCTGGCCTTATCTCATCCTTCTGATCTCAGCTTTAAATGTAGCTTCCTCGGGCAGGCCCCGTGGCTTAGCGGTTAAGTGCGTGAACTCCGCTACTGGCGGCCCAGGTTCAGATCCCGGGCGCGCACCGACGCACCGCTTCCCCGGCCATGCTGAGGCCGCGTCCCACATACAGCAACTAGAAGGATGTGCAACTATGACATATAACTATCTACTGGGGCTTTGGGAAAAAAAGGGAGGAGGATTGGCAATAGATGTTAGCACAGAGCCGGTCTTCTCAGTAAAAAGAGGAGGATTAGCATGGATGTTAGCTCAGGGCTCATCTTCCTCACAAAAAAAAAAAAAAAAAAAGATTAAATGTAATCTCCTCAAAGAGGTCTTCTCTGACTGTCCTAGCTAAAGTAACCCCTGAAACTATTGCTCTCCATTCACTCTATTTCCTTCAGGGCACACTTCACAAACTACAGCTCACATTTTTATTATTGTTCACAGGTTTATTTTCTGTCTCCCCAACTAAATAGTAAACTCTATGAGGACAGAGACTTTATATCTTACCACACTCTCCCCAGTTCTTACCAGAGATTATAATCAACAAATATTTATTGGATAAATAAATGAAGCAGTGCTAACAAGTCCACAAAAATCAAGTGAAGGAGTGACAGGATGATATCTAGTTTTAGAAAGATGACTGTAGCTTCTCATCAATATGCTGGACAGAGTTAACAAGGGGGGTACCTCCACAACAGCGAACACAGAAATGCCTAATAAAATAGAACAAAAAGAATTTAATACACAGCAGAGCTCAAAAGCAATAAAGGAAAATCCTTAATTGCTATAAACAAAAATGTGACTCAAAGCCTGAGTGGGAAGCAGGAGCCGAGCCCAAAGGTTTGCAGGGGACTGGAACCAGATGCAGGACTTTAGGAGTGTCCTCTCCTGGACAGATGAGGTCTCAGACCCATGATACACCGAGCTAGAACTGAGAGCAAGGCATAAAGACAGGCCCTGAAGGGGCTCACCTGTCTTTGAAATAGAGACTAAAATATTTGCTGCTGACTTAGCTGGAAGAAAGCTGGCCAAGTACCTCACGCCATGGGTAAAAAAGAAAATAACCCAAGAGAAATCTGAATCCCAATCCTACATCACACACAGGTGTGGGGCTCAAATCACAGTACCAATGTGGGATGGGAATCCCAGGTAGTGAGAGTGACATGAAAACTAGAGTAAAGGTGAGCAACTCATCGGATCCCAGCACAGACAAACTGAAACCTCTCTAGAGAAATGCTACCACTGGTCAGCATACATGGCTCCCACAAGAGTGAGTGTAAAATAAAGATGTTTTCAGACACACAAAGACTGAAATGGAGTACACCTTTCATAAATATACTTCAGCAAGAAGGAAAATGAACCAAGAAAGAAGGCATGAGATTTAAGGAGGAATAGTGAGACAAATACTGGGAAATACTGACAGTAAAGCTTTCTGTAATGATGATAATAAGAACTAATTTTTTGAGGAGTTAAAAACAAGGAAGAACTGGGGCTGGCCCCATGGTGTAGTGATTAAGTTTGGCACACTCTGCTTTGGCAGCCCGGGTTCGCGGGTTCGGATTCCGGGCTCAGACCTACTCCACTCACCAGCCATGCTGTGGCAGTATCCCACATATAAAATAAGAGGATTGGCACAGATGTTAGCTCAGGGCGAATCTTCCTCAGCAAAAAACAAAATAAAACAAAAAACAACCAAATAAATAAAAACAAAGAAGAACTAAAATAGTTGTCAACAGTTATACGGAAGATGAGAAAGGACAGTTCAAAGTTAAATGATTCTATGCTTATCATTTTGCTCTGGAAGAAGTGAGAGTTAACGATTACCTGTAGGCTTTGTTAAGCTAAATATGCATGTTTTAAAAAAAACATATAGGTAAACACCACATAACAGAAAGAGACTGAATAACTTCCACACTAGTAGAGTAAAAAAATAAATAAAGGAAGAAAGCAGAAAGCTGAAGGGGAAAGAAACAAAGAAAAAGCAAAGAAAATACAAAATACCAAATAAGATTGCAAAAATAAAGCCAAATATAGCAGTAATCATAGTAAACACAAACAGATTATACTTGACTATTAAAAGAGACTCTTGGGCCTGGCCTGGTGGCTCAAGCGGTTAAGTGCACGCGCTCCGATTTGGTGGCCTGGGGTTTGCAGGTTCAGGTCCCAGGCATACACCGATGCACCGCTTGGTAAGCCATGCTGTGGCAGTGTCGCATATAAAGTAGAGGAAGATGGGCACGGATGTTAGCTCAGGGCTACTCTTCCTCAAGAATAAAGGGGAGGATTGGCATTGGATGTTAGCTCAGAGGTAGTCCTCCTCAGAAAAAAAAAAAAAAAGAGATTCTCATATTGAAATTAAAAAAAAAAAAACAGCTCTTTACAAAAACTGCAGAGAAAGCATAATGAGAGAGAGCCTGAAAATATAGAGATTGAAAAAGACATACAAAGCAAATACTAACATAACAAAAACAAGGGGAGAAGGGAAATGGGGAGCTGTTGTTTAATGGGTATAGAGTTTCAGATTTGCAAGATGAAAAAGTTCTGGAGATCTGTTGCACAACAATGTGAATATATTTAACACTTCTGAACTGTACACTTGAAAATGCTTAAGATGGTAAATTTTATGCTATGTGTTTTTTACCACAATTAAAAAAAACAAGCAAGGGCCAGCCCCGGTGGCCTAGTGGCTAAGTTCAGCGCACTCCGCTTCAGCGGCCAGGAGTTCAGTTCCCAGGCGCGACCTACACTGCTCTGTTAGCGGCCGTGCTGGGCTGGCGGCCCACATACTAAAACATAGAGGAAGACTGGCACGGATGTTAGCTCAGGGCAAATCTTCCTCAGTAAAAAAAAACAAAACAAAACAAAAGAAAAACAAGCAAGATGAAATAAAATATAAGCTGGTGAAGCAACAGTCGTATCAAGCAAAATAGAATGTAAAGCTTTGAAAAATGTCAATAAGGACAGTGACAAAAGGAATAATTTAGCAAAAACATCCAACTCAAAACAAATGAGCTTAAAACAAAGCCTCCAAATATATAAAGCCAAAAACTGACAGAATCACTGCAATAAATGTACATTTATTGTCATGTGTGGACTCCCACACATTTA